GTGTCGGAGGGGGGCGTGGAGCCTCGCATCCTGCTGTGGATGGCGGAGGGCGAGCGCCTGGACCGCCTGGACCGCGGAGACCGCGGCGACCGCGGCGACCGCGGCGACCGCGAGCGTCTCGAGCGCCGCCATCACTCGCGTGCCTCGTCTGCTGACCGCGACGACCTGCGCCGCAAGGACAAGCCGCCACGAGCCGCGCGGTATGTTACTATATTTTTATAAACTATGTGTTATTTAATAATTACAGTCCTAAACAGTTTGAAATTAATATGAACTCAATACGACTGTATTGATGCTAGCAGCACGCTTTAGTTTTGCACTCGAATTTGGTTCAGTTCCGACTTTACCAGACTTTCTTAATAAATATAGCACCAAAATGTGTTCAGAATAGTTTAGCCGTTTTTGAACCTTACGCGCCAGTATCGGTTTATAACGCGAAATCAGAAAGACGGGGTAAGAAAGAGTTTATGAAATGTTGTGTTCTTATTTAAATTAATTGAGTTTGTATATTCCAGCGGCAGTGGCAGCAAGTCGAGCAGTACGAGCGGCGGCGGCGCGGAGAGCCACACGGTGGTGGTGGTGACGTTCCTGGACGAGAACGTGCCCTACAGGTTCAAGGTGCCCGCCTCGCCGCTCACTCTCAAGACCTTCAAGGATTACCTGCCTAGGAAGGGCAACTATAGGTACATACACTATACACATCAATATTTAAACAACTTTATGAAATGTAGACGTGATTTTAATTAATTTAAAATATTTTTCCACCGATTTCAAGACTGAATAAAACACAAAATTATGATTGACTTTTTAACTATTGCTGACTGTGTTTATTCTTCTAGAAGTGAAGACAATTTAGAACAAAATAACGTAAACGTTTGGTAAATCATAAATATTTATACCTTTCAACTGTTTCATTTCAGATACTTCTTCAAAACAAATTGCGCCGATCTAGACACGGTGATCCAAGAGGAAGTGAGCAGTGACTCGGACACTCTGCCCATGTTTGAAGGTAAGGTCATGGCGCGCGTCAAGAGCATCGACTAGGACACACCGCCGGCTCACCAGAACAACTACAGAACGAAATACAAGAAATACCTACACACATTATGTCAAAACGTAGTTGGATAAACACTCATTTTCTATCCATAAAAAAGTCAGTCCTCCTATTAATTTATGTGATTTTCGCTTAGTGATTTTCAGTAAATGAGACGTCTTGATTCAAATATTTGTTCAATACCCAGTTTCTTCACTTATTGTGATCAAAGAATCGATATTAGATTACTATATGTATTCGAATGTCAACTACAAAGTTTCGTTCAATTGAACAATTAGTGTAGGGAGGTATAAATGTGTTCCATTTTTTTTGTAAATTTATTTTTATATTCTTATACTGACTCGGTTGTATTTTGTAGTGATAGAAAATGAGAATTACGATCAATATTTTCCGTGTGTAATGTGAGGTATTGTCGATAACAATAATAATGAATTCGTCGTACATGTAAACATCGATGTACGGACACGCCAGTGTGAACGCGTGCGAGCTTATGCGCCAGTGTGTACTGCCCTTTACAATGTCGCCCTGTCACACGGTACTATATTATGTTGTTATTGTCACCCAGTGAAGCTGATTGTTTTAGCATAATGTTCAGTTATCGATAATAAACTTTTAATGTACTGTACAGCGACAGGGCGGCCATAGATTAAATAAATTATTTATTTTTAAAACATTGCGATAAGTATAATCGTAATAAGTATAACTGCGCGACATTGTATAAATTCTGTTCCTCATTGACTCTTTAAGCTTTTCTTTAATTAATTTTAATTATTTTTTTACTACGAGCTAGTTGAGTACGCTTACTATTGTACGATATTTTTTTAAATCGCAGAATGACGGTATGCAACAATTTTTTTATATTCCTAGTGTTACATGAATGACTGCTTAGTTTGTATATTTTTAAATTAATATTTTAGATATAAAATGACGTGTTCTGTTTAAATATAAAATATAATTTCGTTGAAATTGAGGATTCGTAATTATTGATGGGAGTATGAAATTTTATCAAAATGACGGTGTAAGAGGTGCTGGTGACTGGCTCAATCGTTTATTTCCTTCAAAGTACAATTAGTTTTATAATTACAAATAATTACTGAAATTGAATTATGATATGAAAATTAAAATGAATAATTATTTTTATGTGAGTACCTAGATGTACCAATAGTCAGACACCAGCATGTTTTCCACTATTTTGCCATTAAAATCAAAATTATTGACAAACAATCGTACGCACGACGGGATCTCAATCAAATATCAATGTAATGAATTAAACTGCACTTATAAGTGGAGACATGTTTTATATAAATAATTTCCGTTCCGCAGCTGTGAATAGAACTAATTAGCGAAATAGTTGTTAAGAATAAATTTATGTTTATTCTGTATGTGACCGGTCTTAGCCGATCTCAGTCGCCTGCAGGCTTGTGCTGTGCTGCGCAAATATGTACTCTATGTAACACTTTCTTTGTTTCACTTTAGTGTTATTGTCACTTTTGATATGTGTGTAGTAATGCAGTTTGACGTCATACGATTACAGAAAGTCTTCCGATGACGTCATTCATCATTACTCTTCTCGTACCTCGATAAGGCTGCTATTAGTTTTCTTTCTCCTTTCTTCCTACAGCACAGCGCAAGTGTGTCGACGACTGAGTCTGAGTACTATTGCTATAATACCATTGCCAGACTGAGTTTCCCTAAGTCAACCTTCAAATAAATTAACTAGTCTACGTTTGCGTTGCATGAAACTTGTCATCTGAGACAATATTACGAAATGATCATTTTTAACTAATGTTTAGCCTTTATATCGTGTTTAAATATATTCTATGGTCGGATTTCGGATCGAGTGTCGTGCAATGCGAATAGGATACCAGTACTTATTTCGCATATTGTATAATATTGTGTAAGTTAGCATGTCACGTCCGGTCCATTATGTACCAACACTACGGATTGTACTGTTTGTCCTAACTTTGCAAATACAGATTTGTTTGTGTCGTAAATTATGTTTGTTATCCCACATTGGAATAATGTTAACAACTTCTTTATCCTTTCTACATGTTTGACAAAGCTTCGATAGACGATACACGCTGTAGTGTTGCCATGTAAAATAGAAGTACAGAAGAGTGTTGCCAGCGGAGAGTGCACCTAATGTTTGCACATATATGACGAGAATCGGGTGCGGAATCATGTGCCTTCAATGTTGATAAAAATTTTCATAGTTGATGCTTCTAATTAGTTGTAAGTTAACACATTGTAAATATAGACGTAACGCTACGATCGTTTCGAACTCTTTATTTTTTATTAATTTAATTAAAACAAATCATTTTTTTTATTTATTGCCTAAGGTTGCGTTGTGATGCGAACCATCAAACACAAAATATTGCGGTTTTTGTTAAGAATAGTCTGTTAAATCAAATGTAATTAGTAAATGTTGTTCCCGCCAGATCTTATAGTGTAGACTCTGCTCAAATTTAGTTTATTTATTACAACATGTTTGTTTTATCACTGCCAGTGTGTTTTCCATTTGTTTGTAAGTTCTAAACTTGCCAATTCGTCTAAAGCTAGGTTCGTGTATATTGCGTGCATCGTTACGATCGAGTATCAGTTTAGTAAAGCGTTAATAAATCGTAATATGTTGTGTTTGACCGCAGTACATTTTTATAATGCCCAGTAATATAAACAGTGACCGCGGTGCGCCCGGACACTTGACAATATGACTGTATAAATAGATGAATTACTATATCGTTTTTAAATTATATTATACAAGGCACTTACGATGTTAAAGTACCTTTGTACTACCAAAAAGGTCCACTAGAGGCGTCTCTGTGCGTGCCGACTGTACGTTAGTATCAAGTCGATACCCGCAGAGCTCAAGCCAACGGGCTCAAAACTATATTGGTTAAAATGCTTGTTAAAATTGTAAAAAGAAATATAATGTTTTCCAATTTAGAGTGTACGAATGTGAAGATAAACGATTTGTAATAAAACCTAAGTATTAATTTCAGCAACGATACGAGACTCGGCTGTTTGTTCGCAGCGGCCGATGGTTTATAGTAAAAAGAATTTCACTAATCGGACTGTATTATTTTTTTATCTAGCACATGTAACAATTAAAAAATAAACTGGAACTGTGCCATATGCTTTTGATTTTCATTTTTAATGTAATATAAAATTAAATCCTTTTTTCCCTAAAAACTCTATGGAAATTTGATTTTTTTTTAATTCATACTATGTATTAGTTTTGGGACCCCGAAAGGAGAGGGTTTGTGAAACCCTATCCTTTCAGCAAATAAAAAGACGAGAAGTGAAGAATATCGAAATTTATTTGTTTTGTTTACAAGATTTACATGGCACACGCCATTTGTTTTATAGATTGCAGGTGATTTTACAATTAATCACTACAGAAACTGGCAAAGTCAATTTACGAAAGACATTTTAGAATGTACAAAGCTCGTTTAAAACAGTTAATGTTTTTAAAAACAATACTAAATAGCCAAATATTATATTACAAATAATTTTCCAAATTAATGTTCAATAAATTAGACTTATATCAATACAAATAATGTTAAAATAATAATACAATTTTAAAACGGCGCTATTGTCTAAAAATTTAAATGAGTGTTTTTTCGAGTGATGCTGGCTTTATATTTTGAATGATACATGTAAATCAACAAAATATACACAAAATCGTACATTTATTATTGTCTTGAAACAATTTAATTATATTTGAACAAAGTCGCGAATGTAATCAGAAACAGACAAACAGCCTGGGACAGTCCCCATTTTTTTTTAAGGGGGGAAAATCATCGAATGACTGCTCCCGCCTGGGTGAGGCGGGAGTGTCAGACTCTTACTGACTAAAAACCACCCCGTTCCTTCTCCTGCACGTCGAGCTGGAGCCCCGGTTACCCGTTAGGTTCTCCGCGACTGAGACAGTCCCCTGCTGCGGGGTTATTATGACGTCCTAATCGGAACGAGATCTCGCTAGACGACTTGTATAGCTCTCTGTTTCTTTCCCTCAATGGAACCATTCTGACTTATGGATAGGACGTTATGATAACCCCGCTGGAATACGGTATTAAACAATTTTTATACATTGTGATGACTTAATATTATAATTATTTCAAATCAATAAATAACATCCTCTTCTACATACAAAGCTCTGTAAAGGAAATTGAGACGTATATTATTATACAAAGAATTGCTAAAAACTTCTATAACTCCTTTATATCACAATACAGCACTGTATTTACATGAACAGTTCTACTCAATCGTATTAAAATCATTATTTTATCAAAATCTAGCTACTGTGAAGAAATACAACAATTCTAAAGTATAAAAAGGGTAGTGATGTAGGCACTAGAAACAATACTACGTACAGGAATTCAATACTTGAACAAGACATTACTACATAGTGGTCTATATAAAAATTAACCCTAGAGTGGGCGCGTCTTCTTGCGAAACGTCAGTGGGCGCGTGGCGAGTAATTGCTCCTGTTTTGCCTTTAATATGGACCAAGGAGTCTACAATAAATGTGGTAATGAAAGTAAATCCATGTAATTTGTGATGTTATGTCTATCTGAAGACATCTCTGATTCCTTGCATGAGTTGTTGCACGAGCGGGTCGGACTCTTCGTATCCTGCTGACCGCATGTGATGCGATGCGCTTGATATGCACTGTGGACAATACAAATACGTAAGTATACTTCACTTACACACGGAATTAACGACGGACAATGGACATATCAGTATACCCTCAGAGAAAGCCTAATTACATAAGCCAATATTAGATTTCTTGTAAGTACCTACTTCATGAAATTAGTAACTACTGCACTAAGAGCATTTAACACTGAATTTTATATTAGCTACTAATAAGATATCAGATACATGCACTCACCTTTTCTAAATACGTAATTTTCGCTTGAGGACAAATGTCCTTAACAAGGTTGACACTGAACTCGTTTCTACTGAGGTTGTCCACCATGACAGCGCGCAGCTCTTGTAGGTAATTCGACAAATTGTCTGCCGTGAGATCTGGTACTAGCTTCACACTGAGTTGGTATCCTGTTGGGAGCTCTGCATCTTGTTCGTCTTCCACGCGAATACATCTGGAAAAGGAGTAGACATATTTTTACCGACTTTAAAAAACACTACCGGGCGATAAATATTGCTCATCGACATTTGGAAAGAAACAATCGGCTAAGTCGCCGCGTGTACTGCTAATGATTATAAACCGCTTAAACTAATCGGGCACTCTTCTCGAATGAAAGAACTGAGAATGGAATATGAACTCACCGGTACTGCGAAGCCGTCCTGCCAGTAGGCCAGTGTTGCGAGGTGATGAACCCGAGGAAGGGTACGTGCGTCCACTCCAGCGCGCGCTGCAGGCCGCGCTGCGACAGCAGGTCCTGCGCCGACGGAGCGGCCGGGAACTGCGGGTGCGAGTGGTGCCAGCCAACCACCAGCGTGCCCGCGCCACGCAGGGACTCGGCGGCCATGGATTGTGATACTGGAAAATTTAAATAATGACTGTAATTATATTTCTCGTATTACTTTGCCAAAATTATTCAAAGAAAAATTAATTTTATTTTGCTGATATTACTGAGTGGAAATGTTTAACTAAAATGGAATGACACTGAATGAAAACATATCGACTATTATCATGCTACATATTGAAAAAGTGTCGATTTAAGGTCCACCCCCATGCGACCATAAAGAGATTGATAACTCGTTCACGTTCTCGTTTTGTCAAATCGTTCACCTACTTCCCATGGGAGACAGAAGAATAAGAGGTCTTACCAGGATCCATATCGCAGTGCGTGCTACCAGCGGCGGCGGCGGCCGGTCTGTAGGCGGAGACAGTGAGCAGTGGCGGGGCGGCCGCACTGAGCTCGCCCCCCAGCAGGCCCATCACCTCGCCGCGGGACGTGTGCGCGTGGCCGTCCATCAGGACCAGCGTCGACACGTGCACTCGCACCTCGAATGGAGCCTGCATTATAAGTAATAAATTAATGTATAACCAGAAACTATTAAATATCAAGAGGTGAGTTTAGTGTACTATTCTGAAAAGAAATAGTAGTAAATCGTAAAATGTAATACTAATATTAGCAACATAAGACAAAAATGGGAAATAAAATGGTCCTATAACTAGTGCACTGACCGGTTTCTCAGCATTATAGACCCGACAGTGCAATAGTTGTACTGGTGTCTTGCGAGGTGCACGACCTCGGCGCGGTTCTGCGCCCAATGCTACTAAGTCACCCGCTTCTGTATGCATTATGGTGTAGCCACCTCCACCGTCCTGTAAAAGTTAGATCACGGTTAATACATTAATATTACGTTTATAGAAGTGTGTATGCGACAAATTTTGCTTATTATTATTAACTTATCTTCATTAAGCTGAAAGAGAACTAAGAAATTACTTTTTAAGAAATTAACTTCAGGTACAAAGATGCTGGCTATATTAAGAATAGTAAGCAGAGTCACCGAAACTTACCAGATTAATCTTCTTGGGTCTTTTGGGCATAGGTTCAAACCGACTGAGTGGTACAGCTATAGGTTCCTCTGTTGCCTTCTCCCTGGGCTCCTTGGTTGGAGTAGACTTGTGAGTACTACTCTCACTGTCACTGTCCACATCTATCTCTATGTCACTCTCTGGTTCCGAGTCTTTCTTCTTCTCTATTTTTATCTGAAGAGTATAGAAACGATAGAAGTAATAATAATAAATAATTAGAGTTATTTTTAGTTAACTATGATAAAAATAAAGGTTTGATTTTTTTTAATAATGGTCAATTAACTAATGGCTTTGTCCAAAAATAGTATTAATATAATTTTTAAGAACTAAAAGTTGCATCAGTCACAGAACTCACCACTTGTTCCCCTTCAGACACTGGCAAAGCTTGTCCAGAGCCCAACACAATCTGCATTTTAGGACTCTTCACACTGTCCTCAGACAAACTAGAATCCTTCCTCTGTCTTCCTAAGGGAGATTTCAATAACTCCTTACTTTTATTCCTAGTTGTTCCCTTATCATAATTCCTAGACCTTTTTCTCCTATGGTTACCAATCTTTTTCTCAGCCTTCACTTTCGCCTGATACTTAACTATATTCTTAGAGACAATGTCAGTCAGGTCAAGGTCAGAACCAATAGATTCTGTCGACCCTATTATTAGATCATCTTCATATAATATTTCTGCTGGATTTATTGCCATTAACTCAGCCTTCTTGTCGTTTAAAACATCTGGTTTTAGGAGACTTTTTGAGTTTGTGTTTTTCTTCCTGAATGGTTTCTTTGGTACATTAATAGTGGGTGCTCCGGTGGATACCATGTTGATAACATTATTTATGCTAGTCATGTCATCTGCAACTATTTCTTCCTGGACCACAGCTGGTATATCCTCATGGTCCTCTGGTTTGTCCAGCCCAAATGTTGGAGTCTCCAAGTTAACACCATACTCAGCCTCAATCAATGCCTGTATCTCTGCTTCAGTCTTTGTTTTCAAAGTTTGTGATATTTTACGTACATTTCTTCCATATTTAGCCTGTGGATAAGTAATAGATAAGGGTAAATGCATGTTGCTGATGTTAATGAGGTTCAATAGTTGAAAACTACACTAACTCTAAACAATTTGCTGTAGAATTATCACATCCAGTTACAAGTATTACAGATAACGTCTGTGTCAACGACTTTATTTTAGATTAGGACACTACAAATCCAAACGGATGCCCAATTACGCCCTCAACAATCCTCCCAAGCACCATCACTAAATTAAATCTTTATAAATATGAACTCACCATCTCTTTAATAAGGATATCCCTCTCTCTAGCACTCCAGGCTGTATGAACATCATTTGCGTGCTTATCTGAAGAGTTGTTCCCGTAGAGCTTCCTCGGTGATCCCTCTTTTAGCCTGGAAAAAGTACCAAATTGAATTATATTATTATCTCATTTATATCTGTGATATTTAATTTAACATTTAGATCTTTACAGAACAAGGACAGAATGAATGTGACAGGAAGATTTGCATGCTTTGGTTTAATTCAGTTGACATTTTTGGCTCTCCGTCAAGTGCAACATGCAATTCCAAATAGATTGCATGTATAAAACTTACCTATTATTTTGTTTATCGTACCAGTTCGTCTCTGTGGAGTCGAGTAGCCATTGTGGATGCACCGTATCTTCTCTATTGGAACAGGAAGGGCTGAAAGCAACAGATGTGCATGTATTTGTATTTACCAGTAAAAAGTAATCTTAAACCGCGCAAAAAGTATTCAATATAACTCTCTCAATAGTTTACAATGTAGTTTAGCATTTGAGATAGCATCAGGCACATAAAAACTATGATTTATTATTGTTTTGTTTGAAGAATTGGTGTCAACAAGATTGTAAACATAACCGTTAATGGAAGTGTTGCGTAATCATAATTAAATATCGCATTTTCTATCAATATGACTAAGATCATATAAACGATATATTTACTTACATTCCTTGATTGTTTTGAGCAAAACAAGAATTAAAAGAAAAATCTCCTAAAATGTCAATTTCGTCGTCGTCCGCCATTTTTGTTATGACATATTTTTTTGACAGTGAAATCAACTCAAGCCTTTGGTTCTTTATGGTCTGTCTGCTCATTTTGCAATGGATTTCATTTTGAAAGTTTTGTATTTAAGATGAAGGATAGTTTGAAAATTAACTTAATCTAAGAAAATGTTTGTTATTCCTACTTTTTATCACTAAATTGTCGTTGATAGAAACGTCTCCGAATGGTACTAGAAAAATGACAATTTACCCTGGCAACGTCAATGACGGTCAATGTGTCAAATGACTCAAATAATCTTGAGTTTGACAATCTTCAACCAAATATCAACAAACTGTCGTATTGGGAGTGCGAGTAACGACTGCACACAGAACTGAATCATCGCGTTTGCGGTTACTTAACTAGTGTGAGCATTAGAAATAGGACCATACTTCATGTGGATGCAGCCGGATAAGTGTTTACAGTGCGACCAGTGATTTGTTCAAAACATGAGTTTCATACGAAGCCTTACAGCCGTCTGCACTCCGGGACTATGCAGAAGTTTCTCTGTATCCATGCCAAATAATGGCACATACTCGTGAGTACTAGTGTTAATTAAATATATTACTTATATTGGTCGTTGAGAATCGTCTAGATTTCGTGTTTGGAACTTGAAAACATTCCTTGAATTTGTTCATTCCTTGAGTCAATCGATCAATGGTTTATTTAAATGAGTTTAAATACAGATAACATACACTATTCATATCAATATCTGTTGTTGAATAGTAGAGATAACAAACACTATTTTAAATGTTATTATCTACTTGTACATTCTACTTATACATTTCGAGAGTTATTAAAATTATGTAATGATGTTATCATGGTTTAAGTTGGTCACATAATCAATTAATTAGTAATATAGGATATTGAAATCAATAATTAAATAAGGATCTGATAAATGTAGCTAAGTTACTGCAATATTGGAAAAAGCTGTTGCTAAGCATGATCAAGGTTTTCAAAGATTAGATTGTAATAACTACTTCACATTTTTTTTATTTAAATATAAAATGTATATAAGATCTGTACTATTGCAACCACAAAATTTGCTACAGATAGGCTCCTGTTGGGCTTCTGTTACAGACAAAAATTAAAATTGTTAAGTCCATGATGAAGTTTAATATTAAACAACAATTTATTGATATTACTTTATTAATAAAACTGTTTTATTAGTAAAAATATGATTTCTGATCAAAGTTGAAAATATGCTATAAGTTATTTTTATAATTATGTTATTTTTACATAATAATTAAAATTTAAACTAATACTTACTAGAAATATCAAATGACCTACTTAATTAAAATATAAACTAAATAATAACTTACTTAAATATTATTAAGATTAATTAGATTACAGTGGTCAAATGTTGGCCCATCAAATATAAAGAGAAATATTATTTAAGGCTCAACAAATAAAAGTAGTTATTTTTTATGTTATCTCAACTGACCTGAAGTTGTACAAAACTTTTTGCTCTATATAATAATTAATTAGTGCAGTTTTTCTTTACAGCCATACTCAGGAAAATGAACTTTGTTCTGTGTGCTATAAAGTGTATATTTTATTACATTGCAAAAGTCACTATGTTGCTAGGGCGAGTATAGTTTAAAAATAGCATGTTTATCAAATATACTATGACTTGAATTCTGTTGTATAATTATTATAACATATAATATTAAAGATAAAGATATGTTTATTTCTAAGTATATGGTACACTGAGATCTGAAAATAAATATGGAATCACATATACTACCATTTGTGGTGTAGAAATTTTAAACAAGTCAAGTCCATGCCAATCATAATTCTCATTTGATACAATTATCTTAATTAATTTAAATTCATTGAAAAAGAATACATGTTTTGTCTAAATTATTATGTCAAAAATAAGTACAGATAATACCAAAATACACAAAAAATTGTATATTTATGTTTGTTTTATATTCATAAGAAACAAGTATTTTCCTTTTTATGCTAAAGGTTCATAATCCTATATAAGAATAATTACTCTACTTTTTAATAGATATTAACTGGTCAATCCCCAAGTGACCTTATTTCCAATGTTAAGAGACTACTTTTCTATGAACAAATTTTCGGTACAATATATCAATGCATTAAGACACTAGAGCCCAATTACCTACTATCTTGGTTTTCATTCTGGGTTGACCAAAGTTAAGTTTATTTTAAAGTCATTTTATAGACTCTGTTCAAGTGTTCACTTCTAGTAAGTTTTGGTTACTCCAACTGGTGGATTTAAAATGTGTCATGTCAATATATTTTGAACTTAATCAATAGTGTTGAAACAGGCCCTTATTGTTATAATTATTTTCAGATGCAAAGTCCTTGTCATCGGCGGTGGCACAGGTGGATGTGCGATGGCCGCCAAGTTTTGCAGGAGACTGCCAAAAGATAGTGTCATAGTCCTTGAGCCAAGCAAAGTAAGAATTCATTCAATTTTAAACAAACTGTTGACTGTACGTGTATATTACAGGCAGATTGTATTAAACACATGGAGCTGTAAACTTTGTTTTTCTGCACATCTTTGGAAGATTTTTTTACGTAAGAACTTTCTACCAACAAAAACACACTTAAGGAGATTCATTCAGCTGCTCTCGAGATTTCCATTTAGCAACACATTCAGCGATTCATTTTAATAACTATAATAATTTAGTATGGTGAGTTGAATGTTCTATTCACAATGCAAGTTATTACTATTAGACCGTGAAGTCCCGCTGTTATCACTGTACTACGATTTATCATAAATAACAAACAATGTACAGTAAATATATCTAAATAGATTGATTTATTTTACAGTAACACATTGATTTATAGATCTTGCTGTCAGACTATAGTTTCAGGTTTAACATAATTTTATTTGCGATCTTCAACCCGCTTTTTAAGCGGGTTGAAGATCGAAGCACACCCATCTTGTAGCCGAGACGCATTTTTTATGGAACATACCGGTAATCGTGCAGACGGATCACCTGATGGTAAGCAATCGGCGCCGCACATGGACACTCGAAACACTAGAGATGTTAAAAATGCGTTGCCGGCCTTTTGGGGATTAGGGATAGGGGAGATTGAGGAGAGAATTAATTGGGCTTTCTTTATTTTTATTTTTTTTGCCTCCGGTAACCTCACACGACGAAACACAATGCAGGTTGTTTCATGTCGGTTGTCTGTGAGGCCGTTTTATCACTCTGGTCGAGACGGCACATTCGTGCCGAAGAATGGCTCTCCCACATTTGAAACACACTCATAGGCCAGCAGTAGACTTCAAGTGGTTGTTTATTATGACATTGAATTTATAGGATGGATTTTAAGTTTGAGCAAGTTTGAGTTGTCAGGTAGATAATAGATATGAGTAGGTAAAACCTTCTAATATCTACCGGCAAAGATAGAATGCCAAAAAACTTTGTTGTGTTCAAAATATTTTCCTTGTCACATTCAGCTGTTGCAAGCACATCCTTTTGCGGTATTCACAGAAATTTTCCTTGAACTTAATTAACAGGAAATTTTGTTAGAGGTTTTTTAATAGAAAGAAACGCTGTTACTTATTTGCTTGCTAGACTCTGGACAGACAATAAATAATTGTGGTTTTCCAGTTTACTTGAATGACTTGTTAATTTTTTTTTCAAACAAGAGTAAACAACAATATAATCTTACTTTTTCGGAGTACATATAAATTATGAGCTAAGCATGTTTTATTATAATATTATTTCATTACCTAACTGACGGACTAATTCGATTTTTAATTTTAACCCTGTCATCATTTTACCAACTGTTTCCATGCTGTAGATCGTAGGAAGATATCTCATACTATCACGTATCTAAATCAAAGTTATCAAGTGATAAGCTCGGTCCATTAACTCTGTTAAGGTCATTACGTCTTAAAGTCATTTGTTTAATGAAAAGTTGAATGTATTGCCCAAATCGTGCATTTATCTACTGAAAACTTTCAGTAACAGTATAAACGTAAGTGTTAATGTCTTGAGGCCCAACAGGGCCGATGCCGATTCGGAGCCGCGGAGAACCTAGCGAGTTACCGGGGCTCCGGCTTGACATGCAAGAGAAGGAACGGGGTGGTTTTTAGTCAGTAAGAGTCTGACACTCTCTTCCGCCTCACCCAGGCGGGAGCAGTCAATCGATGATTTTCCCCCCAAAAAAAGCGTTTGGTAAATCTTTGAGAATCGCTTGATGTTTATTATCTTCCACTCTTATTATTAATTCGATTTGTAGATTTGTTTGTTTGTAACTTCTTCATGTCAAAACGACTTTTAAGAGATCGGGATAAAATTTGGAACAGGATTAGATTATGGTTTGTAATAACCCCCATGGCTTTTTATCCCACGGGATCACGAGTGAAGCCGCTAGTAGATAGGTCTTACAGACTCATAAGTCATAACTAAAAACTTGCTCCAATGTTTGAATGAATTGTAGATGCAAACAAACTGTACGTGTCTATTTTATACTTACTTATATAAATATATAATATATAAAGCTAGTTTGTATGTTTGAACGCGTTAATCTCAGGAACGACTGGTACGATTCGAAAAATTAATTTGTGTTGGATAGTCCATTTATCGAGGAAAGCTATAAGCTATAAAACATCACGCTACGATCAAAGAAGCCAAGCAGAGCGGGCGACACCACGCAGAAGTCGCTAGACCACTATAAAAACAAATATGTCAGTAGCAGTACATACTGCTAATAAGAGAGATAATTTAATTATGTCTAATTAATAACAATAGTCTGTAGTCTGTTCGATGATGTAATCTGACAAGCTGAGATACTACCGACATACACAAATTGCATAATCTAAACATTGGTTGTTTTAGTGCACACCCGTCATTGTTATGTACACATTCATAAGTTGCAGTTGAATGTAGTGTCTATTATACCAGACATTGTTATCGACACGTGTATCTCAAACATAGGTACTTCTATGTTGCATTGTAAAACATCTTGTAGTTTGTATTAGTTTTCTGTTAATCCCCGTAGGGATATATGACTTTTCTTTCTTTCAATATCCTTTCTAGATATAATATTCTGAGATTGTTGTGCAATTTTTTTTTTTTATGACGGGCTGGGGAACCTTCAAAAGGCGCCTGGCGTTTTGAGGAGAAATACTAGGAAGTGTGAGATTTTTACTCACTAAAACCATCCTGGTGGCCACCCTCCGCACCGGAAAGAGGCACTGGGTCCTCTAATAGACCGGAGCTCCTACGGTACAACGCCTGTTACGACACATCCCTAGGGAGACGTACGTCTCCCTTGAGCCTCGCTGCTGTAGTGCGATCTAAGTGCTACATCTATCGTCAGCGTATTATAGTTTCCATTTTCTTAACAGACTTTATCTACTAGCAAAGTTCATTTCAATTTACGATCTTTGTATATTTTCAATGGAGCAAATACTTCTACCTAGTAGGTAGTACCTACATATTTTCTTATTGAGAACTATGCTATTGTTCCCAGGACCATTACTATCAGCCTCTGTTCACGTTAGTTGGTGCGGGAGCAGTGACAGTAAGGGACACTCGCCGGGAGGAGGAAAAGCTCCTCCCCAAGAAGGCGCAATGGATACAGGACTCTGCAAAATGTATCGTTCCTGAGAGGAACAAAGTGGTGACTGTGAACGGCCATGTTATCGACTACGAGTACCTCATCGTGGCTGTTGGACTGATCAATGATTATGATAAGGTTAGTCTGCGGTATTTATCGAGTTAATTATATACCTAATTGGTAAATATTACCTAATTGGTAAAAATGTACTTACATCTAAAGTAAGGCCAATTACAAGTTTTCACTAATATTTAGGTAGGTATTTAATAATCATGATTTATTGACAGTAACATACTTATTCTCTGTTCGACATATCAGTAAGCAATACTAGGAAAAAAGAGTATAACTAAGGAATTAGTTCATAAAAAAAACTTTCACTTCACAACTCCCCGACTATGTGCTTTATTTAAAGTTGTTCAAAATAGCAGAGAATTTAACATAACAGTACATTTTTCATTCTGTTGAATTATGTAGTAACATAATAAATAATCAAGTCATTCCTGTGTGAATAACATACGTGTAACACAATAATGTCTTCATATTCAAGCTACTTATATCCTTCAGATCCCAGGTCTATGCTTGGCCCTACAAGACAAGTCAAGCGGCGTATCTTCGATATTCTCAGCAGCATACTGCGAGAAAACATTCTCAGACATGCAGAAACACAAGGAAGGAAACGCTATCTTCACGTACCCTGACACCCCCATCAAGTGCCCCGGCGCGCCGCAGAAGATTGCGTACCTAGCAGACTCATATTTCAACAAGGTACCTATTTTTATTATTCACTAGCTTCTGCCCGCGACTTCGTAAGCGCAATCCGGTTTCCTCCCGTTCCCGTAGGGTTTTCAGGATTTTTTATGTCTTAAGAACCTTCTCCTAATAATAACAAATACAACAAATAAAGAATTAGTGAAATCGGTCTAGACATTCACGCGTGATGCCGTGACCAAGGGAAAAAGGGATTCATTTTTGTATACATAGATTATCTTTCTTAGTAACCTTACAAATGGATACACGGTGAATTAAATAGAAACCGTAGTATTTTAAAATAGTTCTACAAAACGACTGCGTCAAATCGAATAATACCTTAGGCACGACCTAAGGTATTATTCGATTTGACGCAGATCCGTAATAATAAATCGATCTGTAGAGATTAAATAGTTTTACGTATCAAGACAAATTAACTCGTCGAGTACCGGTTTTGTAGACACAATTATAGAACAATAGGTTGCGGTCACCGGTGACCGCTTGGTGTTTGACAGTTTAATGATATTGAATTGTTTTTGTGAATCCTGACTTTATGTTCATAATTACATAAGAAATTTATTGAAGAATGACTTGAAGTAAGATTCTGTATATAGATTTTTATATATAGACCTTAAGGTAAATTATAAAACCGGCTAGTCAATTAATAACTACCAGGAAAAAGATACAGGAGCCTCGTGGTTCTACTATCTTAGTGCTCGTGTGCAAACCCCCTCAGGCTATTTGATAGCTACACAATTAGATTACTCGTAATGTCGATAACTATCTAATCGGACAACGAGGGTGTGTCGTGTGCATTTGTTCGCGATAAGCAAAGTGTATGGAACAAATGATAAAATGCCAGTCATTCAATCTACAATCGACTGCAAGATTGGCGCGGTGATCGGGCAACTGATTGCCGCGCAACGTGTCGCGGGTTCGATTCCCGCACGGAACAACTCTTTGTGTGATCCACAGATTGTTTTTCCGGGTCTGGGTGTCATGTGTATGCGAACTTGTATGACACAGGAGACAATACTAGTGTAGGGCAACGATTTTAAAATAGAAAAGAAAAATATACAGACTCATTTCCAAATGACTATTAATTGCTATCTTCAATGATACAAAGATTGTTCTTTTAGAATCAGGCGAAGTCAGGACACAATAATAAATGTATAACACCAGATATCAACCGCTGTCTACAAATGGCCATTGAAAACAAATAGTAGTAATTGAATGGATGTTGATTAAAATTTTGACATGTAGATACTGCTACAGTAACAATCCATGTATTTATTCATTCATTATAGAATACTCATTCTGTCTACCTTTTATTCACGTTTACACGTTTAGTATAATAATAATATCATAAACATACTAAATTAACTAAAACTCGCGGGTTAGTCACGTGAATATACCGAGAAAATCTCTACTAGTTTCGAACCACTCTATCTAACCCCTCTAATTGTCGCGGAGAACCTAACGGGTTACCCGGGCTCCGGCTCGAAGCGCAGGAGAAGGAACGGGGTGGTTTTTAGTCAGTAAGAGTCTGACACTCCCTCCCGCCTCACCTAGGCGAGAGCGGTCATTCGATGATTTTTTCCCCCTTAACACTAGAAGGGCCAGGCTTCATGCTATACCTTCAAAGACCGCAGCGGTCAATTTGACGGTACTAGAGATTAAGTCAGAATACTTATGAAATTATTGCATATTTTGCATTAAAATAAAATAAAAATAATATAAATGTATTTTTTTACTAATAGTAAAAAAAATGCATTAAATTGAGTAACATTTGTAGCAAGTACCTAATAGTTTTTTAAATTGTTTTCTACATTTTCTACAAACAGGTTTTTTAGAGATAATGCAGTTTTCACATATATATTTTTTTTTTACAATTACTGTTGATTTGACATTACCGCCTCTTATTGTTTTTAGTAGATGGTACACTTGTTTGAGAATTAGTTTCTTGATGCTGTGTCATAGTTGAAGTGGATTTTTTTCACATACTTTTCACGTAGTACGCTCAGTAGTTGAATGATGAAATCATGACGAGAATTTTTTATTCCTAGTAACTTTTTGATAAAGAACCTACGAGTTTATAGCTACTAAATCAAGTAAATTGTAAAATACATGACTGGCCATCCCCGACTTCCAGCTCTTACGGTGTACTTGCGTGCCATTTGATCGCTGATGTTTACACTAAATTTTGTTGTACCTATTGTAAAATTCAATTGTTTCAGGCAACTTTTTTT